AGATGCATCCAGTCTGTTGTTCCACTCTCCCCTGATAATTTTGTGAGGTGTCATCCCTGTGTGTCCTTGAGATCTCTGCAAGACATGCTTGTGCACTTGCATTTCCCCTGCTCCCTGGGTCCATGCTCTCTCCTGTAGGACTTTGCTCGCCCTGTCTGAGGGCAGACCCCGATTAGCCAGACCCCTGGCTCGGGGGGCATCACCGGGTGCGTCCACAGGGTCCCCTTCCCGGGCTGCTCCATCCAGAGCCCAGGGGCTGCTCTCGCGGCAGGTCGAGGAGGCAGATGTTTTTCCAGAGGGAGTTTCCGTGGCGTGGTGATGTTCTCGCATGGAGCAGCAGCTGGATGCGGAGCTGTGGCAGGTCTGTGCGTGGCCGGGCTTTGGCTGTGTGCGCAAGCTGTTCCAGTTCCCTCTGGAGCTGGGCAGGCGCAGGCGTTGCAGGGAGCTGCCTCAAGGAGGAGGTGCTGGGAGCTGTTTTACGTGCACATCAGAGCCTGATAGAGATTGAATTGGTAAATGTGAAACCACTGCATCTTCTCCTGTGATTTTTCTCACTTCTCTACTAAATATTACGGGTTATGTTCATAGAGCAAGGGGCAGAATTTGGTCCATACCTGTGACCTTTGCAGTGTTCATCATTAGTCCTGCTGCTGCCTGCTCCTAGCAGCACCCTCTTTGTGCCAAACTGCTTATTGATGTCAAGCAGTAACAGAAGTAGTTTTGAGACCTGTTTAACCTGACCACTCAGCCCCACTAGCCGATGGCAGAGCTCAGCAACCTGTGTAGGAAATGCTGGACACTTGTTTCTGCCTGCAAAGGGTCCCCAAGACGAGTCAATTTTGCCCATGACTGTAATTGCTAAGTAATCTCTCCCTGTCCTTATCTTGACCCACAAGCCTCTTGTTATATTTTCTCTCCCCTGTCCAGCTGAGGAGGGGAGCAATGGAGGGGCTTTGGTAGGCACCCGGCATCCAGCCAGGGTCAGCCCACCAGAATTACATTACTTGTCCTCATGAATTCAACCCTCTTAATGGACATACGTGAACCCAATTTTCTTTCCTATTTTGGCATTTCTATCATAAAGAGATTTTTTTTTTTTTTTAAAGAAGCCTTTCTGTCTTGAAGTGCATCCCTCAGTAAAGAGTAGCCGCAGAAGGAATTGGTTTGACCTCTGCTTCCTTAATTGCTTTTTGCTCTATGTTGGCCTGGAAATGGATGTTGCTATTGTGTAAATTACTGTGATGGTGGAAAAAGAGCTCATGAAATCAGATGTGTAGTTTCTGTCAGGAAAATATGTTTCTTAAATGGAAGGCAGTGTCTACCTGTCTATAACCAGAGTCTAGGTCAGCCTGAAAACCCCAGATGATAATTACCTCATTTTCGGTTTCCGAGCATCTTGATGGATTACTGGTTTTTGTTGCCAAGGGCAGATTTAATCTGGAATTTACTCTGAGCTCCTTTCCTACTTTCTAAGGGGTTACTCAGATATCACGGAGTAAAGGTCGGTCCACCGATACCATAACCTGGGCTCAGAGTGTGGTGCAGCACCCAACTATGGTCTCCTGGGTTGAACCATAGGGCCTTCTTCAACTCTGGTGAAAGAAGCTGAAAGGAAAGAGCAGGAGCCCTTTCCCTCCCGAGGCTGAAGGTGTGAGCCTCCATCGAATTGTCTCCACTGACTATAGCCATGGTACGTGGGTCATTGCATGCAAAAGCAGGGGGTCTCTAGCAGAGCCTGCCCACCCTCAGGCTGGTGGCCCCACTGCAGCTCTGCAGGAGTTTTCCTGATCCAAGGGCCTCTCAGGTCTCCCTATAGATGTCTCCTGTGTTGGTGGGTCCCCTTCCAGCCAGGGCAGGGTTAGCCTGGGGGTGGCGTGCAGCTCACCTTATATGATGGAAAGCTGTCATTCTGGGGTCGTGTCGGAGAGCCCGGTAGCGCTGGTTGGGACACACGGTGAGTGGTGCACGTGGGGTCTGTGTCGAGAGTGTGACGTTAACCGCTTCTGCTGGGCCTTGGAGCAGACCAAAGCGCTAGACACGAGTGTAAATGGGGTAATAAGTGTAAAGGCTAATGTGTGCTTGTTGGTGTTCAAGGAAATGGTTCCTCATCTGCTTGAGAAGCGATGGCTGCAGCAGAGGAGGGAGTGGAGCAGAGCCACCCTCAGCTTTCCCCTTCTTGCTGGACTTACGGGCTCCTACAGGTTTCTTTTCCGAGCTGTTCTTGGAAGAACCAGTAACAGCCCCAGGGAAAATTATGCTTCTGAATGTGAGCAAAGAAAAGAGCTTATTTTCTCAATGCCATCTTCAGCACCTTCTCCTGGGTGAGGTCCATGCAACAGCTCCGTGCGGCGGAACTGTCAGCAAATTTGCTCAGCAAATACTGGCCTTTTTAGGAGGGGAATGAAGCAATTAGCTTCGGAGAAAGGCATGTCCTTGAGTTTAAAGGCTCGTGAACTGATGAGTGAAGGAGAATTTGTGGCACATAAAGATCTCTAATCTTCTGAGAAAGCTGCTGTGGTGAAGCTTTGAGTTTGTAAACCCAAGGCTGAATTTAGTGCCACCTCTTATGATCTCCGTGTGGATAAGTGTTTGGCCTTGGAAAATGTCTTCTCTGTTCTTCAGCAGTAAGTCTTCCTCCATGCTATCTAAATTAGTTAACAATAGAAGCAACAATGCTTATATAATTAGGCCATTAATACCCTAAAGGAATCAACATGCTAATTACCTGACATGATGACATTAGCGAGATACTTTACAAGAATTCAAAATACATGGATCAACAGTAAAATTACAGGTCCCTTAGTACACCTACTCATTTTGTAGTCCTGACATGGATTATTTTGGAAGCCTTGGTATGCCTGGGGTACTTCCCATTGTTAATTTAACCTGTGATTAATTGATGGCCTTTATGACTTCTTGGTTTAAATTACTTGCTATTGTCTCCAGGATTAGGCTTCATCTTC